CGACGGGGTGGAAGTGAGTCAGGAGCGGCTGATGAGTTCAGAGCAGAGCCGAGAGCCGCCGCTGCTGCAGGAGGAGGCTGACCCGGGACCGAAGACCGGTGCGAAGGACGCGGCTCCGCTGCGGAGCGAGGCGGGCTCCGGCGGCATGGTGAGTGCGGCCTGTAGTGGTAGCTAGCTTCTTAGCATTGAACGCCCCCTTCGACAGGGGTGATGGTAATCAGCCATAAACTGCAGTTCCACTTAGGCTGGCCTAATTTTATCACAATTTATTTGGACAGAATTTGGGTTCTCTTCGTCTGTTTAGACATAACCTCGTGCACGTTGAAATTGAGTTTATCTTCATGTTGACATGCCTCATTATTCTTCAAGTACAGTAATCTCCGGTTCAACTCAGTTCAGATGAAGCAAGTTACATTTGTGTTTGAGGAAGAATGTCGCTGCAGATCCTTCAGGTGACGCCGAGCTAACGCTTAGCCTAGCTTCTTGAAGCTCATTAAGTAGTTTGCTGAGTAATCATTAGCAGTCCGGCAAAGTTGTTATGTATATGCGTTTACTACGAAGTATGGGACCACAAACCGAAACTCTGAAGAGTTTTCATGATGAATGCGGTCATTGCTTCGTTTAATGATTAAAGGACGAGTTGACTCAATTGACTCAAAGTGCTAGCTAATCGCTCTGTGGGCTAATGCTAGCGCAGTGACATGCGCCGCAAATACCTGGCCTGTGCAGCGCAAATCAGTCAGCTGACCGGAGTTTGGCTTGTATACGGCCTGTAACATTGGCATGCATTGTGCCCGTGCGTCAGGCTGCACAGCAGTGTGTTAAATATTCTTTTGGGAACTACATTGTGGCCTAACATTTGGGCCCATCCACTCTTGTTAAACTGTAAGAGGGAAGTGACTTGAGGCACATTGTAACTAGCAGCTGTTCTTGTCAGGTCGAGTGCTTTTCTCATACGGATGGATTGCAGGTGGCAAATAACAATGCCAGTGGAGGATGGGTAAAGTGGGACCAATTTAAAAGGGCCAATATTGAACCTAATTAATACCCTTTTAAACTGTTAGCATATTGTAGGTTCATATCAGGCCCTTTAAGTTGGAATATGTTGAGTATGTGTGCTATTCTTGGCCCTGGTCTTTGCAGGCTCAGGAGAATCAGTTAGTTCTGGTAACTAACCTGCTTGATGGCATGAATTTTACTGATCAAATTCACACTAATCTGACAAGAGCTTTAATAGATTGGCCCTGGCTAGTAGACATGTCATTAAATGTCAGTAGTGTGCAGGTGTGTCTCGGCTACACACAGCACCAGGTGATATCGATGATTGCTCCACCTTCTGGTGTTGTCGATGTTGTCCTCTAAGCAACTTTGAGTCCTGGGTAATCTTGTTGACATTTTATGAAAGCCCTTGTGCACTGACCTGACATTGGTGAAATGAGGTAAACTTTGATCTGGCTCATTGTTTGTGTTGGTACTGTGGCAGTGACATGTATATTTCTTGTAAAATGAAATGTGTACATTGAGTTAAAATGCTTTATTAAACAGTAGTCAATTTAGTGTTTATCATCTTTGAACATTTGATGCTCCTAGTTTACACATGCAAAATCACTCAGATTCTAACTTGTTCTAAAATTGTCATTGGCTCCTTGAAGGTCACCTCTAAAGGCACTGGTCTGAATCCAAATGCCAAGGTGTGGCAAGAGATGCCTGTGGCCCCAAGTGAGACTGTCAGTAACAGCCCGCACTGGTCTCCCTCAGACATAAGTGACGGTAGGTCTCTTACAGATGTTTCTGCCTCTCCTATGTGTGTACACTCAGATATGAACTTTACCTTGTTGGCAGGTTACTCTGACCCAACTTCTGCCGAGTGTAAGACGTACACTGTTGGATTTGCAGAGCTCAGTGATGGTGGCTCCACGGCAACAGCTGAGATAGCAGTCAATGGAATGGACACTCCAGAGCTGGGCCTTTCCCCCGCTGAGCCCAGCACTGGGACCCCAGGTCAGTCACGTTCTTCCCCAGTGTTTAGATACAAAATGTGACAACAACAGAATTAAGAAACATTTAGGTGCTCAACCAGTAGAGAAGAACTTGCAATACCATGTATAATTCTCATTATTTATTTTTCCTCCACCATAATCACTGTTATTTTTTCCCCCCTTTAATCAAAACGGTTATATACCATTTTGTAGTAATAAGTCACTGCAGCTGATTTTTATTGTCTAAACACTTTACAGTGGTTCAAACTTATTTGTCCTTTTCTTAAAAAATCCTTCACTCTAATGATTTTCAGTGTGTTTCACAACTTTTTTCACAAGCCAGAGAAGTTTGGGTGTAATGCCACCTCTAACAATAACTAGTATGCTAACAGCATACCAGTGTTACATCATGGTTCAGGGCTGATAGAAAGGCTTTATAGTCTGTTTAAAATATCTATATTGGGGAAGAAATACTTTCTTATGTGAAGGAAAATCCCTTACAAAAAGAATAAAATAAAAACCTTTTGATACAGTATTTATCTCTAACCTAAGAAAAGATGGAGAGATATAAGATATGCAAATTATCCAATGCATATGAGTACAAAAGCAGCAAATGCTTTGAGGCAATGTAAATGTTTAGTGAAGTCGCACCTTTGGCAACAGCTGTTTGATTTATACAAATCCTGTATTTAACAAAGACTGGGTGGTTGTTTACCTAAAAGACAGTTGAGGCAAGCTTTGTCTTTTCTGTGCCCTGACTTGTTTTTGTTGGCATTAGTTTGAATGGTAAGGTAAACATTGTGCCACCTTGTTGAAGGAAAAAGATTAATTTTAAATCGCAAATTAAATTGCAGTTTAAGACTGAACTTGAATGATTTTTTTTTTTTAACAGATTCCAAAACGGAGGAACCGTTATCAACAGAGAATCTTCGGGAGTCACTGAAAAAAGAGCTTGAGTTTTATTTTTCTCGGTAAGACACTTTTTAATTATAGTTTTTAAGCACTTGAAATTCCTTTTCATTTTGTATTTTACTGTTTCAGAGAAAACTTGTCGAAAGATTTGTACCTGATGTCTCAAATGGATAGTGACCAGTTTGTTCCTATCTGGACTATTGCCAGTATGGAGGGAATCAAGGTCCTCACTACAGATATGGATCTCATTTTAGATGTTTTGAGATGTAAGCAAATGTGTGTTTTAGTTATTAGGGTAGACTCATGTTACATTTCATATCTAAATATGATGCCTTGCATTACCGTTTCCCTAGCTTCCCCAATGGTACAAGTCGATGACAAGGGGGAAAAAGTGCGGCCCAATCACAAAAGATGCATTATCATTCTAAGAGAGGTTCCTGAAACTACACCTGTAGAGGTAAAAAAAAAAAAAGTTAATGTCAGTGTTTAAAAGGTAAAATGGGTGAGATTGTAATAGACTGAATTTTGAAATGATCTCCAGGAAGTAGAATCTCTGTTCAAGAATGAGAACTGTCCAAAGGTGATAAGTGTGGAGTTTGCACACAACAATAACTGGTACATAACATTCCAATCAGACACTGATGCGCAACAGGTAAAAATAATGAAACTACCAAAATATTAATTTCCTTTTAATGTTCTTTTAACAACATGTTTGCTTTTGCAGGCTTACAAATATTTGAGAGAAGAAGTTAAAACATTTCAGGGAAAACCCATTATGGTAAGTTTTATAATATCTGAAGCTAAATTAACATGTTGCCTATCTTTTCTTTTTTTTGATCATTTTTTTTCTCCAGGCCAGGATAAAGGCCATTAACACCTTCTTTGCAAAGAATGGCTACCGTAGCGTAGACAACAGCCTGTACGCCCAGCAGCCGCAGAGCCAATCTCAATTCAACACTCCACTCTACATGCAGCACGTCTATCCTCAGCAGCAGTACCCAGTGGCATATGGCATTGTACCACCCACTTGGACGGCGTCACCCACACCTTACTTTGAAACTCCTTTGGTAAGGAAATTTGTATAATACCCTACCGCTCCTGGTGCTATGGTGCTAACACTAGGGTGACCAAACGTCCGTTTTTCCCCAGACATGTCCTGTCCGGGGCGTCCGGGTTTTTTTTAATAAAGTGATGCAAATGTCCGGGTTTTCAGTACGGTTCATGAGCGTCTCTCGTAGCGTCTGTGACTCAGAAGGAGCGAGACACAGTCGGTCAGTCTGCAACATGCTGAAGCACAAATGCACATTTAACAATGACTTGTACAAGAAATTCTCCGTTTTCCGTCCCAGTCGGGACAAGTGGGAGACCATGTGCACAGGTTGGAGGTGAGAGAGCAGTGGTCCCTCATTTATCGCGGAGGTTACATTCTAAAAATACCCCGCGATAGGTGAAATCCGTGAAGTATCAACTTTATATTTTATAATTATTCTATCTGTTTTAAGGCTGCAAAACCCCTCAGCACAAACTTGATACACTTTTCTCAGACAAGACAGGTGCAACCCTTTTTACTTCCTTCTTAAAACTTACTGCTGCTGTCATGTTATTTTCCTCCTCCTTTATGTAACGAACTGAAGATTAATTTATTCCGTAATAGAGCCTACAGCGCAGAGTCCCGCACGTGTCCATTTTTGGAGACCCCCAGTACAACACCGCAACCGCGCATTACAGGACAGCACTTGCCCGTTAACCAGAGATTATATCAAACTTTTGCGCTGCCTACGCCATGGACTGAATCAAGACTAAACCAGGACTAACCCAGGACTGATTCCAGGACTGAAGAGGAGGATTAATCCACGACTGAACTAGGACTAAAACAGGACTAAACCAGGACTGAAACAGGACTCACCATCAGGACAGGCTCGGAGGTGACGCAGGAGAAAGAACTGGCTCAGCTCCGCACCTCACGGAGGTAAACACGGCAATTGCCCGATCGTGCTTTGCGGACATACTGCTCGGCGTTGTCTCTCTTAAGTCCAAGATCAGTCCTGGTTTAGACCTGGATTAGTCCTGACCCAAAAAAAAAAAGCATGCAAAATGACACCCCCCTCCCCCCAAGGTGTCCGGGTTTTCACAAACGGAAATATGGTCACCCTAGCTAACACGATACTTATAATATCTGAAATAATTGCATAACTTAATGTATGAGAACTATACATAGATGAATGTAATTCTATTGATCAGTTTTCTGTAGTTTTCCCATAGCCTTTGAGACTGATGCTCAAGATTGCAAGAACTGATTCAAAGTGGTTGTAGCAGAAGTCTGTCCTGATGATGAGATCATAACGCGCATAGAGGGGCGTTGGAGGGGTAGAGTCACAGGCTTTGGCCTGTCTTCTCATGCTTTGTTTCTTCTGTTTTCCAAAGCCTGAGACTTTACTCTCATCCCAATGAGCGTTTACATTATGAGATCTGAGGTTATTACTTTTTAATTCACCACACCACCAGCACTTGTATCCTAAGTCATGACATTATTTTCATGCAATTATACAGTTTGAATTACTTGGTTTCTTTGTTACAGGCACCTTTTCCCAACAGCACCTTTGTAAATGGGTTTGGTTCAGGAGGCCATTACAAAACCAGTTCCAGCTCCCTCATCACACGCCCTTTCAACAGAAATCGGTAGGTCACTATCATGTTTGTATGCTTTAAGTGTTAAAACAGATTGTGAGATATAATTTTTGCTTGTCATCTTTTGCATGTTTAATTTTTCATGTCACTACTTTTAGAATTTTATATCCAATAATTATCTTGATTAAACTGCAGGGAATTGTTTCACTCCCAGTTTTCTTACTGTCCCCACAGTGTCCCCCTCTATTCAAGAAAGAATGTAATAAATGCTTTCAGGTACAAATCTAAGCACTGCTATAATAAGCCTCATCCTTCTACTCATGTTATCATGCGGCTGCGGCTAAAATACTAAATCCATTCTGCAAGTTTGCACATGTATGTTTTTTTTGCAGCTAATGGTCATCCTGGATTGGTCTTGCCATTGGTTAAATGTAGCCTACTTAATGGCAGAAGCTGCTTTGTAAAATGCAGTTATTTTCCAGTTATGTCCACATTGGCTCCCAAGTATCCCACTTTGGCAGTTGCCACATGTAACAAACTTCTCCATCTAAACTAACCACCCATTATCCTGTTGCTACTATCCTGTATTTACTTTTATTTAAATTATCCCTGCAAACACCACGACCCTTTGTATGGGACTCTGATGGGAAACTGACAGTCGTGAAAACTTTTCTCAATGTTTACATTGTCAATTCTGGCCTAATGATGAGATCATGATGCGCAAAGAGGGCAGCTGGGCGTGCTGTCTCTGGCTTTGATTTGTCTACTCCTTTTTTTTTTTTTGTTTCTTCTCTCTCCTCTCTTCCAATGTCATAGACCTTACGCCCATCCCAATGAGCGTTCAGATTATGAGATCTGAGGGTCAATATTTGACAAAATAACTACTGTTGACTGTATTTTCTGTATTCCCATTAAGTTCACTTAATGCTACTGCCAAAGTTGGTTCAATATGGAATTCAACAAGGCAGTGACCTGCACAACAACAGATACACAACAGATCAAGACAAATATGTTACATTGTAGCTAATTGCAAACTCAAAGTTAAACACTGCACACATGGCATTGTTAAACTTTTACACTCTGACCCACTGTACCTACCAGTCTTGATTCTGCTTTTACTATGTTTGTCATAATATGCATGTTTTTCACTCAGATAAAAGACACTGCATGTTGTCTTTAAGGATAAGGTTTTTGATGGCTAAATTCGGCATATTCAATGCTATCATGGTTGGAGAAAACACTGATGATTAAAGGTTATAAAATATTTAAAAATGATCTGAATTTGCTGCAGAAACCACGTGAAGCCCCAGATGAGACCCAACGATGTAACACCCTCCGTTACACCTGTCCCTCTGGAGTCTCTCACTGGACTGCGCAGCCCACAGTCCCAGACCCCTGTGTCAGCCGCCAACTCCACACCCATCCCCACACCCACTGACCTGAGCGCAGCATTCTCACTCTCCTCGTCCTCTTCCTCCCTGGACCCCAGTGAAGATGGCAGCATTGCTGGACGTGGGAGGTAAGCAGTTTCAAACCTGCACCAACTTGCACAAATTCGATGAAACAATCAACTTTAAAACTTTGGCATTTCATTTCAGACGTGGGAACACCTACAGAGGAACACGGAGAAGAAAGAGATGATGAGCGAACTGCGGTAAATAAGAACTTGTCAAATGTAATCAAAGTTTGAGTAGTTATGTCAACTGGTTTGTGTATTTAGCAGAGACCTGTGCCATTAGCAGAGGTTAAGGTTTCACCACCCAAGTTTGACTTGGCTGCCTCTAACTTCCCCCCTCTGCCTGGTTGTGTGGTAAGCACGCAGGGGGAACCTGTGCTTGAAAATCGCATGGCAGATGTTGTACGCGGTTTATACAGGGATAAGGTAAGAGGCTAAAATTAGATTTGTTTGTACGTTTGTGCAAATGGTTTAATGGTTCTTCATTTTTAGACTGAACAGGTCATTAAAGAAACCACTGTGAGTACAAGTTTAGCCCAACCCACAGTCGCAGAGGAGACTCGGACTGTTTCGAATCCAAGCTTCATTACTGCAAAACCTTTGACACAACCACTTGGATCCATAGCTTCTGGGTAAGGCTTAAACAACATATTCATATTTTTGCAATCTCCCAAAATAACTGAGTGTGTCTCTCAGTGCCCCTCGTCAAGAGAAGAAGGTTGAAAGAGTTGAGATCCCGCCTCCAAAAGCGATCCCCCGAGCCCCAGTCACCCCAGTCAACAGCGCCTCCACACAGTCAGTGCCTGCCAGGCCCCAGCCCTCCGTAGTGTCTGCCCCCACAGCACAGAAGGCGCCGGCCACTGCTACAGCCACTATTCCCACACCTACACAGGTGAGGCTGGTACTGATACCACAATTATTCTGTACAGGCTCCTGATGATGTGATCTACAGCGCATAGAGGTCTACCAGAAATAGACCGATAGACTTTGGCTCTTCTTGATTCTTTTTTATGTTCTGTACTTTTTTTTATTTCTGTCTATGAGCCAAAGTCTAGAAGGTTTACTTCTTCCCGATGAGCGTCAAGATTATGAGATCTGAGGGTGACCCTCTGATATAGGTTTACTCTGGAGAATGGGTTTTGGAAAAAAACATGTTTGTCTTCTCTTTATTACAGGAGCCCCGCAAGCTAAGTTATGCTGAAGTTTGTCAGCGCCCCCCTAAGGACCCTCCTCCTGCCTCTGCTCCAGCCCCCTCTGGCTCATCCACAGGGCAGCCTCTACGTGAGCTGCGGGTCAACAAATCTGAGGAGGGCTCCAACAGTGGCTCTGCAGACAAACAGGAGAAAGGCCATGACAGGGAGGGTGGCTGGGAGTGCAAGGAGACCCGTTCAACCCGGGACCGGGACTCACAGGGCCACTACCGCAGCAACGGTCCCAGAGGATCCGGGGGGCTCAAGTTTAGGGATCAGAGGCGTGCCCCTCAAGCTCGACGCAGCTCCCCGCAGGGAAACTACAGGCACACTGGCAAAGAGCAGAATATCCCCCCAGTATCGCCAAAGTAAAGACTTGAGCTGAATACAAAAAAGATGTATGAATATATACATGGATATATATAAATATATAAAAATGAATAACATAAAAGCAACAACATGGTAGCCACCTTCCACCTGGAACTTGTCCAAAGAAACACTTAAGATGGAGTTTGGGACATCCAGGACTAATGGGCTGAATGACATTTGAAGGACTTAAAGATTTGAAAAGGAAACCAATTTCTCCTGCTATACTTAAAACAATTTAAGTGGGATTTTGAAAACTGGAGATTATATCATTTATGCTCTGCTGTGATGAGGTGGGATCCTGGGCCACGTATAGGTGGCCCTCTACCATTGATTTTAAAAGAATAGATGTTGGTTTGCAACAAACATATGCACTAAGAAGAAAAGAACATGCATATATGCCATGTACATAATACAAAGAAATCACTAACACGCAAAGAGACATCAGTTTTCTTTTTTTCTTGTGTGCTTAGATTTGCAAGTATGACTGAACTCAAGGGTTGGCTGATGTCTGTTAAGCAAACTGATTGAAATGCCACAGTGGGCTTTTGCACTGCAATGATATGGATCATTTTTGATTTTTACATCAGAAATTCATAGACTGTCGTGAGCCTGGACACTATGGTATTCTTATGAATATTAATGACATGTGATGATTGGTGGTATTTAATCCTGGTTCATGATTTGGCTTAATATCATTTTTATGCCACAGTCTGATGAATCCACTTTTGGGGTACTTGCTGGCCCGTCAGCCAAGTGAACTTGCTCGGCCTGGTCCAAGTTTTCATGTTCAGTTTCTGTCTACCCTCTCTGAATTCAGAGCATTGTCTTGTTAATTGGTCAGGTTCTCTGTTTACATGTTTGTTTGGGTGGTAGGACAATGTTTCCTAAGTGAAATATAGGTTAATTGTAAGATGTGACTGTTCTGTGAGATTTGGCTCTTCATTGACACAGGATATTCAGGTTATGCTAATATCTGTGAAGTCTCATCAAAGGTATAGTGTCAAAGACAATAGGCTGATGTGTGCTGATAACTAAGAGTGATGGCTACATTATAAAGGGCAGAAATGTAATGGGTATAAAGCAATTTGGAAATCATTTTCACGTGCTATGTGCCACCTGCCTGCTATCATAGTGTGATAGGTTTTGATTTTATTATTTTGGACACAGACTACAAAGCAAGTGTAGTCTTTGAGACTTTTTAGCCCAGTGAAACTGGATTTGAAGAAACTGTAGAGGTGTAGTTGCCTTTGCTATATAATAACCATTCACTTTAGAGGTGTATGGAAGAATGTAATTGTACTAGTGCTGAATTTGCAGAGGGAGGCATCCGCCAGATTCTTGTGCTTTTTAGGGTGAATTTGCTGTTTTTAATTTCTTTATTTTGAAAACCGATTGACTTAGAAGTTTGACGCGATGTATGTATTGCTTTTTAATTTTATTTATTAATTCTGATGCGCAACGCTTTTCTCCCAATCTTGGTAGGCTGGTTTCCCCAAAGTTGTGTGAAATCGCATTGGCTAAATAAAATCCACGCATATGATACTGTTTGACATTTAAGCTGCAAATATACTTGATGCATTGAACTTGGGTGTAGAAATGCAGTAAGGAGTATGAATCACTGGCCTCTTATTTTTCATTAATGAGTATGAGCAGCTGCCAGCTAGTGGTCTAGTCTAATTAAATGCACTAACTTGTTTTAAAAGAAACTTACTCATGAGTAATGTGAAATCATATTAGAACAATGGTTAATGACGACAGGCTTGCAAATATAGTACAGGAATTACTTTTCCCCTCCATGTTTGGGTTATTTTCTTTGAATTTGGGGTTGGAGTGGCAAAAATAAATATATAGTAATGGATCAACAGTGTTTGAGACACAATCCGAGAACTGTATGAAATGTCACCAAAAATAAATTATTTTGATTTGGCTTTTCTGTGTCATGTTCTTTTTTTCTGATTGAAATGTATTTTGTCTGTGGTGAAAAGTAACAAATTACAAAAATTCTGTTGTAGGTAGGCCTATCATTATCAGGTGTTAAAATATGACTTCTCTTGTCTGCATGGGGATGTTAATGCCATTCTATTGAACATTCCAAGTATTACACATGTACATTTGTGTTTCCTCAACTAGTAACTTGTACTGGTAGTTTGCCTGTTTCCATGGAGATTGCCAGGAATGTTCCACGTTATGGTTAAAGAAGAATTAGGACATGCAGGTGGCAGACCTTGGCAGACAAAATGCTTTGATTTAGGCTTCTACATGACTTGCCCCATTTTACTACAGGGAGATTGATATTAATCACATTTATTATCTAGAAAAGGCACAGTTGAGTTGTAAAGACTTCTTTGGGGCTCTTCACATGTCACTGGAGAAACCATTTGTTGAGTGCCTCGCGATAGTCTTCACATGGGCAGGACTGAAGGCATCTGTGGCATGTTGGCCATACTTTCTATTTTGGGAAAGGTCTTACACCTAGTTTTAGTGTGATTAAATATAAATATTCCTTATATTATTAATGCGGGGAAATGCATAATGTAGCATTAACTTTAAACTGAAATACACTTCTTAGTCCATTTCGCTGAAAATAAACGCCCACAGAGCGAAAAAAAAAAAAAAAAAAGACATGGGCGTGGTCTGTGCGTGACGTGATGAGTGTTTATGTCAAGCGAGTAACGTTAGCAGCAGACAGTACCTGTCACATCTAAAATCGTGGACCAAAAACGGTATGAAATCTTTATAACACTTGCTATTTGCCCATGCATATTGCGGCAAACACATTGAGACGTGCTTCCCAGTCCTTCAAACACTTGACATGTCGGTTTTGCTTTTGTGGGAGTCGATTGTTCTTCGCTTCTCGATATGAGCTCATATGCTAACAAGCTAGCCTCCTTGATGAAAAGCAGCCTGTAAGCATATTTACCTCCGCCTTTGCTTTAAGCTGCTAAAGTGAACCATCTCGTCGCTGTGCATTTAATTATAACTATATTTATTTGTGATTATTTAGAATGCGATCACAGATGGCACCGAGTCTTTTTTTTGTTCATTGTTATTGTTTTGCATATGATACTGCATACTATGTATGGGCTACTTACTCTGATGTTACCATACAAATCATAGGTGAAAACAATATCACCTAAACTTTTTATCGTACTCTGAGTACCCCTAATTTGGTTAAAAGGCAGGTAAATGTGGAGGTAAATGTGGCAGGTAAATGTCGAGTGCAATTATTACTTATTTCTAGTTTTAATGGTACTGATGTCTAAATAATCCAAAACACATTTGATTTATTCAAATACTGCTACTTTCTGAAATCGTTCATGTATCCCCTAGCTGTGAAACACTGGGCAAATTATGGTTTGGTTATGATTTAATATATCATTCTGAACTTTTGGCATTTCAGTGATTAAAACAGTATTTAGCTAATTGTATTGTTTTCTATTTCTATTTCCTTAGAGCGCTGTAGTGCCACCCCTGCCTGGGTGCCATGCTCCTCTGTTACACATGAGCTCTACTATGTGGTACATCATGCAAAGTATTCAGAGTAAATACTCTTTGTCTGAGCGGTTGATCCGAACCATCGCAGCCATTCGCTCTTTCCCACATGACAATGTAGAAGACCTCATTCGAAAGGTAGGCTCATAGTTTTATCAACTTATCTTAGTGTGATCAAGCACAGCAACCCCTATTTTCCTAGTAGGTAGTTTGGAAACCCAAACACCTTTCTCCTACTTGACTAATTACTGTCTAAAGAAAATGAAAATTGTATTCAGTTATGGAAGAACGTAATCAGATATAAATATCATCCAAGCAACATGTCATCTCTTAATTACTATTCAAACTGTCTAGTGGATACCCACTATTTGATGCCCCTGGGATCCCAGGTTAGGAATCACTAATCTGGGACAGTGTTTTTCTAATCCCAAATGTTTGTGGAATGTGTAATATTGTGAGTGTGTAATATTTATTACTGTTCTGTAGCTTATGTAAATATGTATTAATTTTCTGTAACATTTATTAATAGAACAAGGATTTCTTTTTAAAGGGAGCTGATGTAAACCGCATGCATGGCACTCTAAAACCTCTGCACTGTGCCTGCATGGTGGCGGACGCTGACTGTGTAGAGCTGCTCTTGGAGAAAGGAGCTGAGGTAAGGATCTAGCTTTCTATCATAGATAATGCTATCTTTTCTATCATAGACAAGGCAATGTAGACATCTTTGAGGCCAGTTATTGAAGAGGTGATCTATTTTACAATAAAATTTTTTCTTAAGGCAGTGACAAGCTGACAACTCAAGTTGGACAGGTGGTGCTAATTAATTGTGTCCTCCTCAGGTGAATGCGTTGGATGGGTACAACCGCACAGCTCTGCACTATGCAGCAGAGAAGGATGAGAGCTGTGTGGAGCTGCTGCTGGAGTATGGGGCCCTGCCAAATGCTCTGGATGGGAACAAGGACACCCCTCTCCACTGGGCTGCCTTCAAAGACAACCCAGAGTGTGTGCGTGCTCTGCTGGAGAGTGGGGCCTGTCCTAACGCCCGTGACTACAACAACGACACGCCTCTGAGTTGGGCTGCCATGAAGGGCAACCTGGAGAGTGTCAAAGTGCTGCTGGAGTACGGCGCTCAGGTGCATGTGACCAACCTGAAGGGGCAAACTCCCATCTCCAGGCTGGTGGCCCTATTGGCCCGAGGCCTGGGCACTGAACAGGAGGAGGAGTGTCTGGAGCTGCTTTGCCGTGCAGCAGGGCGCTTCGAGATCCGGCGCGCTGACGGGACCCTCCCCCGGGAGCTGAGTAAAGACCCTCAACTACTAGCTAGGCTGAGCAGCATGGTAGCCCAGGCGCCCTCTCTACGGTCTCTGGCTCGATGTGCTGTGCGCCAGAGCCTCGGGGTACAGTTCCTCCCTGCTGCAGTGAAAGAACTGCCTTTACCCGAGACTATCAAAGACTATCTACTGCTGAGAGACTGATCACGCACATTAGAAGATCATGAAAACATGGTGCACACACTGCATTTGCAAAAATACTGACTCCTGGCTCTGGCTTTTGTTTGTTTGCCTTTCTTTAAATGTAACATTTATACACGATCAAAGGCTTGTTTTCATATTTTTACTACATTACATTATTTTTACATTACACATCATTTTGAATTTATTACAGTTATTAGTGTAGCTCAGACTGTCTGATTTTAGTACAAATATTGCAATACTTGATGCAAACAAAGCCTTGAGTGAAATTGGCTGGCCATTTACTTGCTGCTACTGGAAAATATTTACATCTATTTACATGAATTTACACAGCCTCAAGGAACAGAATTAGCTTTGCAATTATTATTGAACATTTTTGGTTGTTTTACCACTTCAATCAGGTTTTCAATTCAGGGTGCGCATTCAACCTCATTATTTTATTTTATTTTATTAAGAGCTTTGTTCATCCAGTTCAACACAATGTAAAAACTGAAAAAAGGTTGTGATTATATTAAAGGATTTTATTTTATTTTAAGGTGCAGTTGCCAAGAACTGAGGTTATGACAGATTTTTATGTAAAAAAAAAAAATGTAATTTTATGTTTGGCTACATTAACAGCATGAATTCTGTTGTGTCCCTAAAGATGATTAAATAAGCTAGAAAAGTGTTTTGTTATGTTTGTTATGGCATTGGTCTAATACAGAACACTTTTATGTAATAGTTTGTGTAAAATGGCCTTCTAGTTCATGTCTTGTTAAAAAAAATAAATAAAAAAAATAGTGCTTTATGTTGTTAATAAAAGTAAACACATTTCTATCAAATGGTATTCTTCATTGGGTCTTCAAAGCTTACAGTATTTTCCTAAATGCAATTGTGTGCGATCTAGGTCAAATTCATAAGTTGTGTTATATATGTGTGTTATGTGTGGTATAATATACAGTCTATGGGTAGATAATAAACACTAACTCATCTTTGTAAAAGTGGTTCTAGACACATACACTAGAGGGCTCTCCAGGCTTGTCAAATTCAATTCTTTAAGTCATGTTTTATACATAGTAAATGCATGACTTTTATTTGCAGGGTATATCTAATCACCTTTTGATGAGAGTTTGGGATAATTTCCTGTTTTCTCACCACTTGTGTAAATCTAACATATGTTTTGGCTTGTGGCCCATTCTATACTCATACAAACCACAGGACGTACATTCCCATAGAGAAAGAATTGGGTTAGTTTTCAGGAAGGAAACAAAGGCATGAATAAAGCTTCCTTAAACATATTAACAATAGATTAAAAGGAGATATATTGGGTCACAAACAACTAAAGTATTTTTTTTACTTATTGACTTGGATCTTATTAACTGGGTTCAAGCTTTGTTTAAATCTGTCAGGAACCAGAAACCACACAGGACAAAGTTTAAGTCTGAAATACATTATGATTTTGTGCATGTAAAAGAGCATTAAACAGAAAAACATGTAGATGTTATTGCGTAGAATATTCCCAAGTATGTCATTACAAACGTTTAAAAAAAAATAAAAAAATATGTATATATATATATATATATATATATGGAGACAAAATGGCTATTGCAGGCACGTTACAGGTCATATCTGTGAAGAGGCAACCTCTTTACTGCCTGGGGATACACAGAAAAAATGCATGGTATGGTGTTTTGCAGTAATGGAAGATAGATGCAAAACTTTGACTTCTCCATGAAGACAGATGAAGTGTAATAATGGAGTGTCATATTACAATAGAAACAATAGAAGCAATATTACAGTTACTACAATAAAAATATATATCTGCAACTCTCGTGGTGTTTGAAGTCTCGCGATGATTGGACGTTGAAGAGGGGAGTGTCGAATTCCAGGAGAGAGCAGCGGAGAGGGGAGCCGAGCGAGGGGTGCAAGGGTAAGTTTGTAAACACTTTATAACCTTTTAAATTCTCCACATGTTGGAAGGGTATGTACACAGGCCATGGTGCAGTGTTGTGAGCGCTACTTTTAAGATTTTTTCGCTTTGAATCAAGCTTGTCTTCACCATTGTCAAAACTACTGTAGCTGTGCAACGCTTCATTCGGGACTCGCTTTGCTCTGGAGTGTCTGTCCGCTAACCAAATACATGTAAGCGATCGTGCTGTTTGTTATTTGGAAATGCTATTGCATCCACAATCCTATTTTTGTGCTTGTATAGACTTTGATCGTTATTCCATTCCCATTGTCATGTTGAAATATATAATAACCTCGTTGTTACACACTTACTTTGCTTCTGGCCTGTTGTTAGCCACCGCAGCTCGCCAGCAGCAATTTTTCGTGGATACAAAAAGTTGATTTCGTGGTTTTAACCAATTAGAAAGTGCTTTCTGATGTTACTGACAGGGTCTTACGCTGTCGTCCACGTTGATTGACGTTTTAATAGCCAATAGCAGAAAAGAAAAGGCGGTCTGGTTACGGGAAAAGGTGGGGCTACGCTTTGGAGCCAGAAGGTAATGGTGGCAGAAGAAACTTTATAGAAAAACAGTCAGCGCTGTCTCAAAGTGGGAACTAACTTTAGCTGGGTTTGGGGATTGCTTTGACCGTGGCAGTCCCTCTCCCCATTTCAATATACTTAATTACTTATATATAGATATGAAAAACATCTCATCCTCATAGAATTGACTTTAGATATCCATTTGTATTTTTTAGTGATTACCTGAGCCTTACTGGCTAAAATAATACTTTATTTAGATGCTACTATAAATCTTGTATTCAAATTATTATTCTTTATAAATCTTCAACTTATGGTTATTCCTTCACAGAAAGACATACTTGTAGCATTGCAATCAAAAATAAAATAAAATCAAAAATCTTTATGATTTTTATATTAATTATTTAGTCAGTGGATGGCAAAAGGCCTGTGAATATCAGATTTTCACTTAATTTGACCCAAATGAAGCTCAAGTGAAGCTTTTTGAAGACATCTAGTATGCACAGATGTTTTATTCTTTATTTCTTTTATTCTTTTAATTTTTTTTTTTATTTTTATTTGTACTGCTTTTATAGAAAATCTTTTTTTCAGCACACATGCTTTTTGGAGTCTGTATTGTCCAGATAATGATGAATGTTATGTACTTAAGGAGGTATTGAACTTTTTCAGAAGCAGTATGACCACATGAAAATATGTAATTAAATTGTGCGAGTATAAATAAAATGTGTGTTGTTTTATTGTAGTGTTGAGAGCAAAAAAATACTGCCTGATCAGGTCATGAAAAGTTCCACAGTGCAGCTTGTTTCTGTTTGTTGGCTTCAGAAGTTGCTGTGGCAATAGCCAGGGTTTGCTGCAAGATGAGACTCAAAGCAACTCGAAGTCCCCTTAAGTAATAATGATATCCATATTGCAACGTGAGCCCCCCGGACGCCCCAGGATCCGCATCCCTGTGCATGTCAACACCTTCATTAGGAATGTAGGTCATGTTATTGGCAGAGTTGTGGCTCATTCCCTCACATAAAGAAGTCCAACGCCAAAGGAAACGCCATTCTGTAATGTGTGTGGCCGATTGCAACAGTTTGTTTTAATTTTTCAACAAAAATCTGAAAAACCTGATCACGTTACACACCTGCTGGAAGGAGAGATAGTGTTTCTACTCAGAAGTGTCTGCCTTTCTTCTCCTATCTGCGCCCCTTGGCAAATGTCACCCCTCGAAAGTCCACTATTGTCATTGTTTTGTGTAATTAATTTTCCCTGGACAAAGCCATAAAGCGAGAGACAATGCTCCACACCAAAGGCTGTGTATTATTTACATGCTTGAAAACATCCAGTGACTTTGGCTTTGTAGATACAGAACAAAATGCCCCTCCCTCGCAACTTTTTAAAGGTCTAAACCACATGTTAAAAAGGGCTGCATCTTAATTTTGAAAATCGTCCCTGAATCTTGGTGTATTGTCCTGTACTTTTTGTGATAGTGTAGAGTAGCTTTAGCTTTAGGCCTTGTTAGTTATGCAGGCACAGCGATAGGATTTCATTTGTTCCATTTACCAAATCTCAGGTTCACTCTGCTTACATAAATATATACGGCAGCTGCACACGCCCAGCTACAGCCCTCTTCTTTGTCTTTAGAGCCCCACTTGTTACTAATATTTCATTGGCGATCCAGCAAACGCTATTAATACTTAACAGGACCAATGTTGGATTGCATTAAAATGGTTATGACACAAATTTTAAACTGCAAAACAATGGGCCATTGATAACAGCAGATTGGAAGGAGCAGAGAAAAGAAGATCAATGAAATAGATGTAATTTTTATTCAAATGTGGCAGGTCTTAACAATTAGGTTAACAATACAGAACTATTTGAAAAAATGAATTAAAATAACTAGACGTCAATTACCTACTCACTAATTTATTTATTTTCCCCCGAATCCAATTTCCTGTAACTTCTATCCAGTTTGACAATACCCGCATAGTTACATGTTGCAATATTTTAAAGTTTGATGGTAAATTTCCATGATAGTATGAGAGAACAGGCCGCTTGATTGTGGTCTGGCCATCATTCTGTGTCTCTGTTGTCTTTCTTTTCGCGGGGTCTCCCTTTCCCTTTGGCAACTGAAGCCTCAGATTCCACCGTCATGGCCGCCATGAGAGCTATTAATACAGTTTGTTTAGTCAGTTTCCTAGCAGGCGGCATCAAACACTGGAGGGCTGTGGCCGATTATAGCCAGGACCTGTTCCCCCTACACCTGCTGAGTCGGGAGAAACCCAAGTTTCACCGAGAGGGACAGAGCGCCTCCATGTCACCTTGGAGCAAAGCAGGCCAAAATAGGTGGGCCTCCTCAGATTCTTGTTTGTAATGAATATCTGTGCTTCTAGACACTAGTAACAAGCAGAGTGATTGATTGTGTCTAGTACAGGACACAGTGGACAGTCAGAATTGAACTGGTGGCTCTAAATGTCAATGAGACAGAGACTGGTTGATAATTGTGCAAAATATTCTGATTCAGTGTGGCTCAGGGGTAGAGACATAGCAAATATGCAGCACAAATGAACTCCACCTTTGTGACTGGTTTCAGCCCAACCTTTGACAGTTTGGTGAATGTGTTACCACAATGTCTCCACCATTCAGTGCTATGGCCCTCTATGTCCTGTAATGAAAATATTGGTATATAAAGAAATAAATATTAATACAATATGTCATATACATATCTACTACCATATTTAACAATATTGGCAGTAATATAGCTAGTTATAGCTGTAGTTTGTAAAACCTGAATTGAACCCTTCTACCTAAATTACTTAAAAGAAGTAATAGCTGGTGCTTCAGACCTCAACCACAAAGCCCCCTCTTCTTCATCTTGTCACTTAGCACACATCTGTTTTAATCAGTTTTAACATATTAGTTGGTATTTTCCCTCAAACAGTCCAGCGTGCATACTTGAGCTGAGTGCCAGTGGCTCCAGCCCTGCATGTCTGTACTCAGATGTAAACTCTGGGTTCCCCTCTCACCTCCTCCAGATGTGCCCATTTCCCCCTCCACACCTGGGGTATAACGAGGGTCCCGTTTGCACACTGCTCTTTGCACACCGCACTTTGCACACCGCTCTTTGCACAAACACAGCACGCCGCCTCTCCTCGCTGGATCACGGAGGTCTGCCAGAAATCACCAGCTCTGCCTCATTTGTGCACAAAGGGAAGACTGTAGCAGGACTCCTTCTGTATAGTCTGGCCACAAGATGAATATTCAAAATGACTGTTTCAGTATCACAGCTATTATACTTTTCTATTAATTAAGTGCATATTTCTAATTAGCTTTGTTAGCAGTACATATTTATCATAAT